ATATGTATTGCAACAGACACCAGGGACACATTTGTTAGCATGACCACTTTTTAATGTCGGATCCAGAGCAACATATTTCAGCTCAATTGTATTAGGGTGTCTGTTAGCTCAGTGACATTCACCGCTGCTTACATAACTTCCTGTCGCTCTGCAGCAATGTTGCTGTGCAGGTGTGAGGTCCTAAATGATGTAAACATGTGTCTCTTTATCAGGCACAAATCTGCAAGCTCTGATTGAACATGTCAAGAAGCCCACCAGCTCCGCCGAGATCGTTCTTGTCATCTCCAACCGGCCTGGTGTCGAGGGGCTGAAAAAGGCAGTGCTGGCCGGCATCCAGACCAGGGTCAGTGTCCCTGATCTTGTGTGTCTCTGTCCTCCCTGTCTTTCTGTTCGACTTCCCATTGATTAAATTCTTACTGCTCTGCAAGACATGGTGCCAAACACGCCGACGTTCTACAGTCCATTTTTACCAATTGCCCATACAGTCTTTGTGTGCATGAAAACGCCTGTGTCATACACGTCTGATGTCCAGTGTCACCGATCTGTTCTCTAAATGTCAGTAAGCAACGTGTTCATCAATGTGACCACTGATGCTCTCTGCTGCGGACAGGTGGTTGATCACAAGCTGTATGGGAGTCGCGCTGAGTTCGACGGTACCATCAACCACGTGCTGGAGGAGTTTGGTGTGGAGATCGTCTGTCTCGCTGGGTTCATGAGAATCCTCACTGGCACCTTCGTCAGAAAGTGGAATGGTAATACTAAAAGTAAAAATAAATTAGGATCTGGGTCAAAGGAGCTGCAGTTCAAATACATTTTATATGTAGGAGATCTACTTAATTACAGAGAAATTAAACATTATTCACAAATTGGAAAACCAGGGATTTAATGTATTTACTGAAATACATAGGGATTTCAAACTCTTACTGTGTCATCCATACAAGAAATTATGATATATAAAGAGTAATATAAAGAAAGACAAAATTTGGCTTAACACTAATGTAGCCGTCCTTTTTGTTCAGTGTCCACCAGCAACTGATATCTTCTGGCTTTATGGTGAGAATGCTTATTCTTATTTTGAGATCCATGGAATTGGCTGGAATTATTTCACTGACTTGCAGAGGTTTGGAAATTGAATCCCAGTGTTAAATTACTTTTAAATGCATTTGATACACACATTATCTGCACACACATTGCAGTGATCTTCCTGTCATCCAGGCTAGTTATAGTAGTTCATTGTCAAAATTCAGAAAAGGCAGCTGATGGGAACCAAAAACGTGATCACAAAAGGTCACATTGTGAAACTGGTTTGCATTGATAATTAATTGTAATAGTCCGGCTGGGCACCTGCTTCATTTCCTGAGCTGAAATGTATCACTCTTTTTTCATGTCGGTAATCTTCAGTTTATTTGAGTGGATGTTTGACAACCGCTCTTTCAGTCTGAGGAAGCCTCAGTCTGTACCAAACAGGTCAACACTGTCAATTGATGATGTACTGCTTAGATTTTAAGGCCATGATAGTGAGTTTTTTTTGTGTTAGCTAGCTTAGGAGTGACTGCAAAGAGATCAATTGTCTTTATGTTCCAAGGCCTTACTGGAACAATCACTCTTCTGTGCAAGGATTTCCCACTGCAAACACAGAGGTGTAAGCTCTGTCTTCTGATATTATTGCTTATCGATGTGACATTTTCTCCATTACTGGAACTTTTAAATGAACCATGTCACATATTCTTCCTTGAAGCGACCTTCAGCGTTGATATTTTAGCATACAAGAAGAACATGTTGCTGATTTTGCTGGTGACTTCCTGAGGAACTGAATGAGAAATTACAAAATCTTGGAAGAGAGCTCTTCTTTGTCTATTCAGACTGGGAGAAAGCTCACTGCGAGATAAAAGTATTATTTTGGAGGCCTCTGAGATAAAAGTATACTAACTATAGGTACAGTTTGCTTAGCACTATTTTAAAACGACATATTCGTTATATTCGTTATATGACCAATCAAAATGTTAATTTGAAGGCTTTCCATAACAATTGTGGTCTGGACCTTTTCTGTTCAACATATTGGTATCAGTGCAGTTCATTCCAAATGACTAATTATTTCATGAAGCCAGCTACCCACTTCACTGAATTGAATTATGTTGTTTCAGCTCATTTGAAACTGGTGATTTTAAAAGAAACTTGTCACAGTGGTGGTCCTTCAAGACCGGAGTTGGCCTCCCCAGACAACGGGGAGGTACCTCGGTCCCCGTTCTGTGTGGAATCGTGACAGGAGTGCAGGACTGTGTCTCGGCTTGCGCTGCTGCAGTCTGACCGCTCTCTTCTGCTTTACGTTTCAGGGAAGATGCTGAACATCCACCCTTCCCTGCTGCCCTCCTTCAAGGGCGTCCATGCCCACCGGCAGGCGCTGCAAGCTGGGGTGCGCCTCACCGGCTGCACTGTGCACTTCGTGGCGGTACGCCTGGTCTCTTTGCGTTTCTCTGCAAACTGCCGATCCAGCTCATCTTACACTTAATGAAATTATCTTAATCGGCAGGGTCAGTTAATCGTGTGTCAGTGAACCCAAGAAGGGTAACTAATAAGAGATGGCCATTGAGTCCATTTGACAGCTGTTTGGTATACTGTAAATCATTTGAAACTAATTGTAATGCTGGTAGGACAGAGGTCCCGGAATGGAATGAAATAGCACGATTTCTTTCACCTTTTCTTACCCTGTGCCTCAGTATTAAGGTCTGTATTGATACAAATCCTCACAGCTGAAAAATTATTAGCAATTATGTTTCCTGTAATGATACTGTCAACCTGCAACTTAAGCGATCACAGCTTTATGTTGTCGGCTAAGGAAAATATTGTAATGCTTTATTATTTGAAAGATTCATCAGGCATTCCTACGAAAGCTAGTGAGCCTATACAGTCATCTTTTTTACTTTTATACTGTTTTTATATTTAGATTTAATTTAATTTCATTACTGTAAGAGGGTAGTAGGGTTTTTTTAAAGAGTTTTAGGTTAAAATTTGGCTTTACCTGCTACTCAAGATCACCTACTCCAATGTAAGTTATAACTGTATTTCTATGGATTTCTATTTTGTTAAGAGAAATAGGGGGGTGAGGAGGTTTTTTAAAGTTTGTCACTTTTTTGTGCCACAGAATTGCAAACTACAGAAAATGTTTTCTTCCTTGCAGTCATATTATTGTTCAGATTTACATGGGTATTGTTGAAGAAAAACCTTGTTCCTGTCATTAGCACAAATTCTCTATCAGCAGTCGTCTGTTTCTGTAAGTGAGGTTTGCAGTGTGACAGCGTTGTCTGTAAAGCAACGGTACTGCAAACCCGGCTCCTGTGCTCTTGTGGTATTTCAATCAGCTAACAGTCTCTGTCTTCTGTAGGAGGAAGTGGATGCAGGGGCTATCATTGTCCAGGAGGCGGTGCCTGTGCTAGTGAATGACACAGAGGAGAGCCTATCGGAGAGAGTGAAGGAGGCAGAGCATCGCGCGTTTCCTGCCGCCCTGGAGCTGGTGGCCAGTGGCGCTGTGCGGTTTGGAGAAGACAATCGCATCATTTGGAGCAAAAGTGAAGTCCCATAGACCTCAACCACAGACTGAACATCTCAGTAACTCATCGTTCCCCTCCTCTATAAAAGGATATTTCCGCAAAACAAATCCCTCTTCTAACTTGACCCCTCCCCACTAACACATCTAACAACAGCAGCATGTGAGTCTGGCCGAAGAATAACTGAAAACCACGACCCCAACTGGCCAACCAGTTGCCACTTTAGCTGAAGGGCCACTTTCTAAGTAACATCTTGTCATTACAAATAACGAGGCTCTAACATGATTTCTTTAGCTACCATGGTCATTTTGGGATCAATAAAATGTTTTCTTGTGATTCCCCTTTCATAACAAAGCTCCATCTGAAAAGAATCCCCATGAAAGCCATCCCCTAGACCAAAAGCAGGTTGCTAACTAGCTGAATCCACCCAGAAACCAGACGCATCCCACTGATAACAGCACGCCTGGCTCTTACCCAGAGATCTCCCCCACTCTCCAATCATCATTGCTCAACTTGGTCCTCAGGTATGATTCTCCCTCCCCAGTAACACCTCAGCCATCCACACTGTCTTCATATCTCTTATGCACATCGTGGGGTCAACTACATGGGTGATTCTGTAAGGTCAGGATGAGAACATCCCTTTTTTACTTTACAGATGCCAGAATCCTTTAAGCAGGGAACACTTGAAAAATGGTACAAGTGCATGATGTTTGTGTAGCATCCGTAGTCCTTCAAAGATGGAAAGTAAATGTGTGTTTGTATGAGTGTAAGCAAATGAAAATTATGGTTCTCACTGAAAAAAAGTAGTCACTAGTTCTCAACTTTCTGTCATGTTGTGATGGAAAGTGGTTAAATTTAAAGGTGTGACACAGAGTACTACTGAGTACTACTCAATACCTGGTGCTGAAATGCCTCTTGCAGATAGATATCCCCATCTTTTTTTTTTCCCCAAGGCACATGGTTCCATTCTACATTAAACATTCCCTGGTTAAAAAAGTGAGCATGTTGTCCATATTGTGTGTAGTAGGTATAAGTGAATATTTTATATTTCTGTTACTAAAATTTCAAGGTCAGCAGACTTCAGAAATAAAATGTCCCTGCCACCATTTATCATGGAATATCAAAGAAATATTGAGCAAGTTGTTTTTAAAATGAACTATTTGATTGCTTAAAAACTACTTTTATATATTCATGCCCTTACCTAAATTTCTACCGTGATAGTTATAGTACAGCTTGTGGCCTAGCAATTCAGACTAACACCTTCTGAAGTGGATCTGTACCTGAAGAACCCTCCACCTTGCTGTTCAGAAAAGCTGTACCTTTGTTTTCATCCTCAGTGAAGAGCAACAAAAGTTAACAAGGGTCATTCCAGGCAAGAGGTCATTTCCTCTACATGAGCTCTAATTAACAGAACAGAGAATCAAGATCTGATACACTAATATTTTCCAATAGGAATTCTATTAATCAAAAAAAATAAAACTTTATTTCATGATTAATATAACTACACATTATAGGAAAAGAGTAGACAGGGCTGCTGCAGGTGTTGAGCTGTTATCTGCCCCCGTCTTCAGAGGCGTGCAACCCAGTCTCTGGATTGTGATACTGCCTGACAACCCCTGTACCTATAGCGTGGGACTTCATAGAGCCAGGAACCATATTCTTCTTTAAACATCTGACAGTCATTTGAAAGTCACTGGCCTTGCAACACAGCCTCCAAACCGCACACTGTTTCAGGTAACATTCTCTCCTTAATCCAAAATGCTGTGGGTTCTTGGAGTCCCGATGCCCACAGGACAGGGAAGAGCAGCATGAAGCCCTGCATACTGGGTGCTGTAGTCTTTTGAGCAGTGAGTGCACTGCCCTTGCTCCAGCAGGGAGAGATGGTGTACTTCTGGAGCTCTTGTTCCAGTGGAGCCAGGTCAGGATTTGCAGAAGCGCAGGATAGACAGGGCCTCTCGTCCTGCCTGACGTGAAATACACACCTCACCCCGTAGCCCAGATTGCCCCAGCAACTGCAGTATCTCCTCTGCAAAACGAAGGAAGCAGTGAATGCACTGGCTGCCTTCCCATCAAGCAGGATTGGCAGATAGCTTACGTGATTCTACAGAACAGGGGTAACACTTGGTAATTTTAACCAATCAGATCTGGAGAATCTTTCTTACATCCCCCTCTGTAACCCTGTTAAATCTATACACAGACTCAGTAACTCAGTAACACAGTAAAGCATATTATAGAAACAATAATATTGTAAAACATGCTATTTGGCTACATCCAAGTCAGTGCACTGCATTATTTGGCTACATCCAAGTCAGCGCACTGCACCTGCAAATTTCTGCATTCACAGTTCTGGCTCCGTTGTGTTTGTCAGATTCCCAAAACGACCAGGCATGAGAAATTCTATGGATGTTAACATCGTGACCTAAATCTGTTACTGGAGGAACAAGTGCATTTCATCTATAATGTAACCTTAACGCTCATATTTAACAACAGGCATAAAGGGATGTAAACAAGTAACTTTGAATTGTATGTTTTAAAACAACATTTTTACTCTTAAGAAAGAATGTCCATCTTAAACTAGCAGAAAACAGGCCTCACTTCTTACCTGGGTCGTTGTCCTGCACAGTAACTAAGTAAAAAAGGCCCTGGCTGGACAGCAGCTGTGGCACCAGTGGAAACAGCCTGTCCATCACCTCTCGGCCACGCCTGCCCCCAGCCCAGGAAGCCTCGATGCTATGGCTGCCCACCTGTGAATGGAGAGACAGGACCATTAAGCTAATCCTTCTGAAATGCTTCACTTTTCTGCAGCAAGCAATACACATTTTCTCCTCTTCACTAATGACGTATGCTTACAAAGATAAAATGTAAAATGAAAAACATTTTGTCCCCTTCAGACATCGTTATCAGTCTGCTTCTCCTGTCAAGGGCAAGCAGCACTCATTTCCATGGCAACAGCACTGGAAACAATGCAGCTGCAGACCTGGTGTGCAGGGCCGTCTTCTCACCTCCTCTGTGGGGGTCACAACGTAGGGAGGGTTGAAGAGAAGGACATCCACGTTCTCCCGCAGCCTGGGCAGGATAGCTTCCACCTGTGACAGAAAAACAGTACTTGGTCAGCACGGACTGAAAACAGAGGCAGGAGCTCAGGGATTGGGAGAAGGAGGGAAGACAAGGTAGCAACAGGAACTCAGGAACTGGAGAGAGTGGCAGTACTGGACAGTGTGTAGAGCCAAGACTGGGAGAAGCAGTGTGGGACAGCAGGTAAAGCCATGAATAGGAGGTACTGTGGGACAGCGGTTACAGCTGAGACAGAGAGAGAGGGAGGCAGCAAAGGATAGAAGCTAGAGCCAAGAAATGGGAAAAAAGGCAGTATGGGACCGTGGTTAAAGAGAGAAGCAGTAGTGTGGGATAGCACTTAGAGCCAAGACTGGTTGAGAGGAAGGCAGTGTGGGATAGCAGGTACAGCTGAAAAAGGGAGGCAGCATGGGATAGCAGTTAGAGCCGAGACTCTGAGAGAGGGAGGCAGCATAGGTCAGTTGTTAGAACTCAACAACCAAACTCAATTCTGAGAAGGAGTTTGGACTAATGCCTAAAGCTGAGAGGCCAGGTTAGAGTGAGTGAAGCAGTTAGGGCTGAGACACTTGCACAGGTTAAATTTGTTGTTAAAGCAGAGCTATGATGAGAGACTCAGAAACAAGTGTAACATGAGAGAAAACACCAAAAGCAGGAGTGCAGTACACAGTGACAGAACAGTGCTCACCAGGTCTGTGATGAGTGGCTGAAGGGAGACATCATTACAGCGAGCAGTTTCCATAGTACACAGCACTGCTGCAGGGTTCACATCTGTACAGCTGCAGAGGACAGAAATCTCAGCTCACATGAACACACAACACAGGGGCATACCATCCTGTTCTGACTGATTCCCAAGACTTTGAACAGCACAGGGAACACAGTGAAATACAGGAAACAGCTGCTGAAAGTCACTCAAGTTCTTCATTTCAAATACTACTGATCTAGGTCAGCACCTGAGGGGGTGGTATCGAGACCATGGTTTCATGAAGACATGAACTCATTGAGGTAGACTCACAAATACACTGCTTTAGGTCCCACGATGGAGGCCAGGAACGCAGAAAGTACACCAGAGCCACTGCCCACCTCCAGACATACAGACGGGCTGAAGACAAACAGTGACCTCCATTAGCAACCTGCTGATCTCATGACAGAGATACACTACTACAGGGATTGCATTTACTTCACGATCTAGCAGTTGAAGACTTGGTGATGTTAAATACAGCCTCAACACACAGGTCTCCAATTCCCACTTACTACTACTCACGGAGGATTGACCTGTTTCTATGACACAACATGGAAACACTGTGTGCAACGATACAGACACCACCCAGTCTGCATCTGGACATGCTGCAGTGTGAAACCTCTAGACTTATTAAACGCTAGAGCATTGTTCTTTAGGATAAAATGAATACAATTTGTGTAGCATTTTCATTCTATCCTTTAAGTAATGTCAATATGCTTTAAATAAATATTTTAAGTAATATCAATTAGAAAGGATTGCAAATTCTGAAGGCAACTGAATGTGGTACATACAACTCAGAACACAATTCTTAAAGCAAATGCAAGATGTGCACAGGCCTTAAAGCAATCAACAATCAATGCATATTTTCTTTATATAATCTATAAAATGCTGCATATCGGTCCCTTGGTGAAGAATGTAACTGCCTATTATGTTACTGTTTTTCTATTAAATTTCAATCTCAACTTACTGTATGTCATTTCAGCTTTTGGCCATATTTTTAGGAACAGAAGTCCAAGGACTGCTTGCAGTATAGTATATTTTCTGCTTTTCTGTTTCAATTGAGTTTTCTGTACATGTGCCTACACCTCCTAAATCAAACTGCCTTGCAATACTACTCAGTTTCCCAGTGATTCAGAATCCAGTCACAATATCTTGACCCTGGGTTTAAAAGATACACGGACTATGTTCTAGCTGGATGAGTTCCAGGAGAGAAAGGCAACTGTAGTGCAAGACAGTCAGACTGGACAGAATGTGGGTATGCACTGCTCAAAACAGTCAAAACCATAGCGAGGAAATAAATGGAATAAGTAATTAACAAGTAATTTGCCAACATTTCTGTGAATCCATAGCAGTGCTGCCTGCAAATCAGACAGGAGAATATGAGCCACTCACTCCTCTGCCAGCTATAAGAGGAAAATGGCTGTCCTGGAGTCAGTATCTGTTAAGTATCATACACTGAAAAGGAAAGGGAGACCGCTTACTTCAGCCGACGCAGCATCTCCGCATCCCGCTCCAGTGCGTCCATCATCAGGAAGGAGTCCTCTGCAGGGTCATACACATCGGAGAAGGGCCCACGCCCCACATGGGCGCACACGGGGGTGGGCAACATAACTGCACCTGGGGCATGTAGAATGACACAGGGAGAGACGGAAAGAGACAGCGCAGAATGAGAAACACGCATGCTGCCTAACCTCAGATCCTTCCAAGCAGACTTGGAAGAAAATGTACGTGAACTATTTGCCACTCCTGTTTTTAAGGAAAATAACATGATTAAACAAATTCATCCAGGACGTTACATCTCAAAGGTGGCTAATTTAAGAGTCCCTATAAAAATAACCAGATGTAATAGGAGACTATTGTGATATAATTCCCCCAGGCGTCCCCCTGGGAAGGTCGACCCTTTATATTATAAATGACCTCTGTACTACTTGTGTTAAGAACATAAGATAACAAACTAGATGGAGCTGTCTGGACCATTTGATAATTAGTAGCTAATTCAAAGCCAACACCATCCAGACATTTCTTGTTTGAAAAACACTGCTTGTTTCATATTCCCACATTTTTTTTTGTAAAGAAACACCCACTGTTCTCTGATTGAACTGCACTTGTCCCTCAGTTTCCACTGGTGCTTTCTGATTTCTGATTTGTGTTTCCACGAGACCGAAGAAGTCCACTGAGCAAAATCCCTTTGAGGACTAGAATCAGGTACCCTTTGTAGTCTGTTCAAAACTAAAAAGATTCAAATCCTTCAGTCTGTCAGTCAGACATCTCTTTAAGCTCTAGAATGCATTTTCTTCTCTGGACTGAATCCAGAGCAGCAATATCTTTTCTAACATGTTGACATTTTACACAATTTCCTGAAGGAACACTAGTTTTAGCTGTACCCTAAGGGTAAGTGGGCTAGGATCTGCCAAAGAAACAGCAGATTCATTCTGGCTCTGGCAGGACACACTGCACCTACAGATAGATATTCCCTTGATTATGCAATATTTAGTGTCTGTTTCCAAAGTATGAAAGTGGCAGCCAACACAACACAACTTACTTTCTGAATGTGGTCAAAAGGGACCTTTAAAAAATCTAGTCACGCTCTTGAGTGAAGGAATGGTGACCAGGAAGCAGCACCTCTGATCTCTCACCTTCAATCCGTGACACCATGATTAGTGCCAAGGCCCTGGGTTGATCTGCTGAGGTACTCAGTGGAGTTTAAAATGTTCGCTCCATGTTCACAAGGGTTTCCTCCCACAGTCCAAAGACATACTAGTATGTTAATTAGCTGCTACGAAAATTGGCCCTGGTATAGTGTTTGCGTGTCAGTGTGTGTGGCAGGGTATATCCTGCTTTGCGCCTGTTGCTTGAAGGTGTAGAGTCCGGCTCCCCTGAGACCGTGAATTGGAAGAACAGTTAGAAAATGCATGGATGGATTGCACTTATTCACTACAAACTATACATATGTACAGGGTGCTGATATCAGTGCTTCATATTCTTACTATAGACTGTTTTAGTTCTTACAATTGTTTTTCTGGTAGCCTAGCTTTAGTAGAACTTAAAATAAATGTGATTTCATCGGTTATATAGTGGTGATTAGAGGCCACATAACGTCCGCACTTTTGTTTTAAGATTTTCTCCTGAACAACTTAATCGGCTAGAGTACGTTGAATATACCACAAAAGCTTTGTAATGATTAAGTCAAATACAGAGAGGAGGGGACACATACATCTAAATCAAGGCCGCTGCGTGTGGCCCCGAAATGCCAGGAAGGCCGCCAGACACCCCCAGAAATTAACAAGGAATTTCGACGACATAAGCCCTATTTGGGTCTTTTAACATATGTCTGGGGGCTGAAATGCTTTTAACAGGCATTACCGAGGCAGCCAGTAGCCGCAGCTCCTGTTTTGATCGGTGTGGGATAAGCTGCTTCGAATATAAATAATAAAAAAAATTACCCTCACTTGTTTTTATTTTTTAAATAAAACTTTATAATACGTAACGACTGGCGAAAGATCTATCGGTTTGAACTATATTTGTGACACCCTAATGAAGATTGTAAAATCCGCTGCACGCTACTGAAATTAACACACGATTGTCTCGACTTCTACCCAGAACAAAAATGATTTGTATAAAATGTTATAAGACTTTGTTTAATGTTAATTATGAATTATAGCACCCTACTACTGCTACATCACACGAATACTATGTGTAACGTGGTTTTAAAAAAAGTTTTTTATATAGATTAATATACGTGCGTCTCCGCGAGTACCACAGTAAAGCTAAATGTATCCTTTATTTTCAATTGATTCCATTTCCTGGAGTTCTCTACGCAATTCATTGTTCAGTTTATTTAAATAAAATCAGAAACAAAATCTAAAAGTCAGAATCGTCTTACTTACGTAAAATACGATATACCTGTTAACAGACTCCTTTCATGCGAAACCATCAAAAAGGTAAACTGTACTGTATTATATTAATTCTAAACAGAGGCTTATGTAGCTACAGCATACATCAACCTGCAAATGCATAATGTAAATTAGTTATCATTTATATTTAAAACGTTTGATATACAAAAAATTCTACTCCACATCTCCGCATAACACTACTACTACTAGTCTGCCACAATAAAAAAATCCACTTCCTGTACTGCGCTTGACTCACTGCATTCTGGGAGGCGTAGTTTTTCAACTGCCTAAGCAACCCATGAAATCTTTCACGTTGGAACTATATTACTTAAACCGCCAATGACGGAAAAATCCTGAGATACGGGCTTTTTTCAAATGTACTGTATGTGCTCTTCACCTGAAATGTGTGTACGTGCCAGGTCTTTCACCATTTCATCGTAAACGCGTAAAATGCGTTTAAAGCGTAACGCCGAGATATGTATGATACATGTGTAAAGTATGATATGCATTAATGCTTTGTTTCGCTTTATTATTACGTTATTACGTTACTGGGTTTTAGCAAGATATAATAAAGTTGCTTTCATGATTCCTGGACACCCGTAATAACCACTGGCTGGTGGTTTCTGTGCGTGTGATAGACTGATTACAGATTTTAATGCAGTGGGGAGGGGTTCTAGTAACTGGTGTTAAAAACTAAAAATATTGGGTTGGTTTCCACCCCTTTACTGTCGTGCTTGTGAAATGTATTAACATATGTACACATAAGCCGATGTTCTGGATCTGTTAGCCGCCTGAAATGCAAAAAAAAAAATGCAATGGATTTTGGAGTATTTTATCGTTTTTATTTGCTTTTTTTTAAAAAAAAAATTAACATTTCTAATTTCTAATAGCATTTATTCATCCAGTTCAGGGTCGCAGGAAATCTACACATATACTGGTACACAGTGGGTGCAAGGCTGGGTACACCCATCCATAGATGGGATGCCAGTCCATTACAGGGCACACACACGTCCACAACTGGGCCAATTTACCCAGAAGCCAATTTCCAAACTTGGGGAGAACATGCTAACATACTATATGTCACTTTTTATTTTAAAGTTATTGATGTGTGTTTGCATGTGCTCAGAAGATGCCCTGGCACAAAATGACTGGAACTGTAATACAATATGTAGTCAGTTTATGTGACATGACAGAAAGCTTAGTAAATTCCATAATGCTGTTCACATGGTTTTGGAAATGATGTAATAAATGGCGTGCCACACAAGCACTTTATCTGTACAGTGCAACAGAACAGCAGTGCTGCAGAGGACTTGTAGTCAGAAGGTCTGGGAGAAAATCTTACTGGTACAGGCTATAGAAATGAGCTCTGGAGGCATAAGGTGACTATACTCCCATTTTACTTTTTGATTCTACCATCAGGGGGGGTGGGAAGAGAACATTTGACACCTGTGAACTCAAGTATGAGAGTGGTAGAACAAGTATTAGTAAGTGTTGGTAAATCCAGCCTTGAGTCCTTTGACTACCTGGCGTTTTCTGGTTTCATGTGAAGCTGTCATATATAGGCTTGGGCAATGATATTGAAATGAATGAGAAAGCAGACACACTACATATACTGTACAGAAACATCCATATGTCTTCCATAACCATCTAATCCACCAGGCTGAGCTGAATCTAAGCTGTCAGACGATGGGTAGGTGATAATATAATTAGATCACTTTATTGGCCATATACAATTTCTTGTATTATGAATGTGTCTTTTCGCATACCCCAGCTTGCTCTCCATGAGACACACAGACAGGGAGAAAGAGGCTTGGGGTCAGAGTGCAGGGTCAGCCATTTATATGGCGTCCCTGGAGCAGTTGGGGTTAAGGGCCTTGCTCAGGGACCCAACAGAGTAGGATTCTTCTGCTGGCCATGGGATGCGAATCCGCAACCTTCCAGCCACAGATGCAGAGCCTTAGCCACAGAGACACTGCACCGTCCTTTACCACTTGGACAGGATTCTGGACAGGATTCAAGTCCAGCAAAGAACACACATATTCACGCATTCATGCACATAGGGAACAAATTAGAGACACCAATTAACACAGAAATCATGTCTTTGGTCTGTCCGAGGAAACCAGAACACCTGGCAAAAGATGTACTTGGACATAGGCAGAACATGAGGACTCCATGCAGAAGGTGCCCCAGACCAGAATCAATCCCAGGTCCCAGGATCTGTGATGCGGTATTGCTATTCACCATGCCACCCTAAACAAAACCACTTTTTTTAATATATATCCTCCCCTTCAACCTGTGGTTTGGCATACTGCTTTACAAAACATGGTCTCAATTGCATCCATATTTTTTGTTCACTAATAAGGACTGTAAGTAAAAAGCATCTATGATAAATTTTAATCAAACAGACTAATAACCTGTCACACCCAGTACACCTAGAGGGTGGTCGACTTCTCTCCTGTTCCTAGTTCCCTGTGATTATTCATGTCTTTCTGGTGTACGACATTTCCTGAACAGCTGAGCCTGGGCTAACCCCCGTCTCGCTGCTATGCATAGGGTCTTTATCACTCCCCTGCCATTCCACGGTTTGTCCCTTCAGACATCTATGACAGAATGCTGAGCCTACTCTAGACCCCGCAAGTGTTTTTTTTTTCCTTTTTGTTTCCTGGAATTTATTTTCTTTATTCTTGGTTCTGGGCTTCCATGCCCCCTGCTCTTCCCTATCTGTTGGGGGTTATTTCTTTTACGTGTTGTTGGTTTCCCTGTTTATATTCGTTGCTTGTTTTGCCTCTGTCCCGGGCTCCCACGCCCCCTGCTGCTTCCGTGTTCCGGGCTCCCACACCCCCTGGTCTGGGCTTCCATGCCCTTATGTGTGGTCTGTTGCCCTGTTCCGTCAGGGTTTATTTTGTTGTGTGTGATTTTGTTTTATTTAATGTGTTTTGTGTGTCCCGGGCTCCCATGCCCTCTGGTCTCCCTGGCTCCGGGCTATCATGCCCTCTGGTCTGGGCTTCCATGCCCTTATGTGTTGTTTGTTCCCCTGTTCCGTCAGGGTTTATTTTTGTTGTTCATGATTTTTTACTTGTTCGGTCTAGTTTTTTGTCTTGCTCCTCCGGAGCCCAGTTCAGCCCCTCTTCCTCTACTCAATTAAGTTTTTTTTACCCCGAATGAGGGGTAGCACTCAGCCGTGGACTCCCGGAGGTTTCCTTTCAGTTAAATGAGGTTTTTACTCCCCCCAGTGCTGTGCAGCTCTTTTTTGGGTCTCAGGAGCCGCCCTGTGATTATTCATGTCTTTCTGGTGTCTTGTTGTGTAGTTTAATCACTTTGCAGGGGCCCACCCATTTAGCCTTGAGCTTTTGATGGCTGCCTTGGACTTATCCAACTTTCTCTTGGAAACTGTACAGTCTGTAGTTTGCCCTGATATCATAATTGCACTTGTATCTCTGTTCTCCTGCATGCGCCTGCTTCTCCTTAAACTGGTGCACCATTGCAGCTTGGCTGTGTGCTTAGGGCCCTCAGTCATCAGAGGATGGTCCAATGAGGTGCAAAATGCCATTTTCGCAGGGGGATCTGCAGTTCCCACCCCAGTATAAGGAGAGCAGGTGTGCACACTGTTGAGTCCTGCATCACTGTCTGACAGGCCAGGAGCACAGTGCTGGCTTACCACGAGGCACAGTTGTATTCCTAGAATCCTATTTAACTGTTTAACTAATCCATTTCATTGGGGATGCAGAGTGGTGGTCCATGTGTTCTTGATCCCCAGCTGCTGGTACATAGTGGAGAATGCCCTGGATTTGAAGTTTCTGTCTTGATCGGAGAGGATCTCCTAAGGGAATTCAAACCTACTGAAGAACCTTCTGTGCATCACACACGGTTTTGGTCTCTTGGTCTGGCAGGACGTAAGCTTCTGGTCAGCGCATAAAGTGGTCAATCAGGACTAGCACGAACTATTTGCCTCTTAATATATTAAGAATTGGTCCCAGGATGTCCACCACCACCCACTTCATTGGTACTCTCCTAGGAAAGGGTTAGAGGGCAGCTCTCGACTATTCTGTGGGGCCATTCCTGGTGTTGCAAGCATTAAAATTGTGGTATAAACTTCTACATCATGCTGGATGTTCTCCCAGTAAAAGGCTTGCTGGAGACATTAGAGCATCTAAGAAACACCAAAGTGCCCTCACTCTTTGCGGCCCATGGTGGGCTCTCAAGACCTGGGGTTGTTATGCAGTGGGTATGACTACCTGCCATAGTGGCTCTCCAGATGTGGGGTGTATCCAACACCACTACGGAGCTCCTTGCTCAGTCCCAAGCCTGGCCACTGCTCCCAGAGGACCTTAGTGGATGGCTGTTCTCCCGTAAGTTCTTCCCAGGTAGGTCATGTCCCGTCTTGCACTCACCATTGGTCCAGCTGTAGTTTGGGGTCATTTTCCCGTGTCTTCTCCCAGTCTGGGGTCTTCTCTCAGCTTGTGATTTTCGCTCTCGCTCTCATTCCTCTTGTTGCGTTCAGTGCTGTCTTCTTGCAACGGGGGTTGTTGCAACAGGGTATCTGTATTCTGAGGGTGCTGTCCAGGTCTGTGCTGCTCCATGAACTGGAAGACCTGTAGCTTGGTGATCCAATGAACAACCTGATCTTCGGGCCCCTTAAACGACAGAATCCAAAGGAGAGTCACATGGTGTGTGTGGAGGATGATGGAAAGCCCACAGATATGGTGACAGAAGTATTATATTGCATCCATGACAGCCAGGACTAAACAATAGTGTTACAGAAGGTTACACAATACTTGCGTTCTGTGGGCGTCAGTATCTCACTGTAAGACACAATGACTCATTTTCCCTCATCCGAGTTGTGCAACAGTACAGCTCCCAGTCCTTCATCTCTGATATCTATGTCAAGGATGAATTGAAGCCTGAGGTCTGGAGCAAATACGATTGGAGCATTGCACAATGTGTCAAAGGCCTACTGCCACATCCATCTATTCAAACTCTTCACCTTTCCAAGTGAGCTCATAAGGGGCAGAGGTGATAGTGGCCAAGCCTGCCATGAAGCAATGGTAGTGCAGTACCAGCCCTTAGAAGGTTCTTAGTTGCTCCAGGTTGAAGGGCTCTGGCCACTCCCATACTACACTAACTTTGTCTTCCTGGATGTTAATTCCACTGATTCCACTAATTCCACTGATGTGGTGGCTTAAAAAGGATCCCACCCTCTGTATTAAGTTCCCTGAGTACAG